CAACAAGAAAGTTTTTTAGTAGTTCCAATAAGGCAGAAAGCAAAAAAGCAACTTCTCAATCAGAAAAAAAGCAAAACAATTCCTCTCATCGAACCCTCGTGCCTCCAATCAATACTTTTGGGTGGAGTTTTTGCTCGTTGTTGTTGACCTGTTGAGGTCAAGCAGACATGGATGAGAAGGATTGCCAGTGACCTTCCCGCCACTGGTAGCTTCACGAAATGCATTTCATAATAATTCCAGCAGCGCATTTGGTGGATCCAGGGAAGGATCTTTCGCTTTCCTCCCCCTCCCCTCATCTCCAGGGTCTTGCCAGAATGCTTCTGCTGGAGTAATTGTTTAGCCAGTAATCCCATCTGGAGATGAAACGAACTCAGAATCTCTAGCAGGCCAATCATCAGGTAATGTAACACTGATCAAAACGACTGGGAAAAAATTCCATTTTTGACATATTTAAAAACCAATTTATGAATTATAGTTAGTAATACTGTTAAGTTAATATATTTTAAGAAATTTGTGTCTCAACCTCCAACTACCCATTGGTGCATAAGTTTTTGAGCAGAAAATCCACATGTTAACACAAAAATCCAATGTTAAACGCTGCAAAATACCGAAAAAAGCCCTAAAAAATATAAGAGAAAAATTCAAGCAAAAACATTTGTACATCACTGGCATAACGTAACGACAAACGTAGAAAAAATCACTGAAAAAAATGAAGAGAAAGCGAGATTGCTTTTCTCATTTGGGCCAAAAATCAGTAAAAGTGTGTAAAAATAATTTCAAAAAAAATACCATAAACCGAATTCGAGTGAAGTAAACTAGCATGTAAAGAAGTGACGAAAGGCACAGTTCAATTAAAGGGCAGAATTTCGCCAAAATAACAATAATATCAAGTGAAAAAAGTTTTATCGGGTCAAAAACAAAAAGAAAATTTCCCAGAAATCAAATAAAAACCTATAAAAAACTGGTGCCGAAATAGGAAAAAGACCCAACATGCAAGTTGGAGAGTGCTAGATGTAATTTTGGTCATGCAATATCAAATTTCGTCTCGAAGCACCAAATCTGAAATGTATCTTTTCAAGCTTTTTTTGGTTAGAAACTGGCATTCACTGACATTTTTTTGGTATGAAATTTGACTACCAGATCTTATGTGATGAGTTGGAACATTCAGC